CCGGCGCAGCCGGCGTGGAATTGGGAAGACTCGTGCTACCCCAACTCGGCACATTTGTCCACCCCTGGACACAATGCGAAGTATCTCTCGCTATCTTCTGATCTACTCTGATTGCATTTACTTTTGAAATTAAAAGTGAGCCTGCCTAGTACTGTCTGATAATGCTTGGCACCGGGTTGCTTGTCTCAGATGTTACGATCATTTTCACTGTGTCCTTTGTAACCCTCAGTCCAGTTTCCCATGATCTTTTTTCCATTGTCCCGACAATCTGCACTTGTGATCATCGGTCTTCATATAACTTCTGCTCTCTGGGGCCTACCCTGTCCCTAATCCTACCGATACACTTCGTATTCGCTGCTGTCGCGACTCTCCTCTCTTCTTATCGTCTTCTGTGGTGTCCCCTCCTCGGTTCCTGCACCATCCCTATCTGTTCTGCCCCTATCCGTCTAATCGTACCTTGGCCGGCTGCGTTCGATGCACGCGGCACGTGCTTGTAATGGCAAGCAACCCTGCAGCTGCTGGACAGACCGGCAGACCGGCAGACGGTCGGACAGACGGTCGGTTGGTTGCCCGCATCTCGGGCTGCCCTCTCGTCATGGAGGGTCGAAGTGAGGCGGTGATTATATACATGGCCAGCCCCAGGGGCCAGTGCTAATTCGGGACGTTTCGCGGGAGGCCAGGTGTCTGGACCCGCCTGCAGTGCATGTACGGGCGCCCCGGGGGCCCGTACTTGCGGCCACTGGCCAGAGGTGTTAACGTGTGTGTAGCAATGTTCTTTGTTAGAGTCAATTTTGTTAAATTTCGGCACTTAGCGACAAGATTTTGTGTAGTTCGGAGCATTGGCTGATTTTTGTCTCGACCTAAACTGAACCTGTTCTCGAGGAGATCCCTTGAAGATGTTCTCGAGGTCGCATGGCTGTGACCTTATACCGTCACTGTTTGGTGACCGGGTGCAGAACTTATCGAGAGTCCGGCGTCCGCTGCAGCTGCCGCTCCGAGCGGATCCACCAGCTGCCACTGCCGCTGCAGCCGGGTTGCGGCAGCTGTCTGCCTTTTGGACAAGGAGACAGACGGAGAGATGGACGAAGAGACAGACAGAGAGATGGACAGTCGGAGGCGCGGCGGACGTCGCGCGCACCCCTTTCACTGCGCACTGCCGCAGTGTGCACTGATGAGCCAGCTGTTTGAGAGGATGTCACACGCGTGCAGTCGTGAATTGTCCTATAGAGGTCGGCAATATTTATCAGTGTGAGCTAGAGTCATCTGCAGACAGGACCACGGACATTCGGCTCAGAGCGTGTGAATTGAATAGGTACGTATGGAAGAGTGGATCTGGCTTTGGGAATGAAGGACGTTTGAGAGGATATCTGCTAGTTCTTAGTGTTGACTGACCAATACTGGACCGTAGGGATCCATATTTTCATAAGTTATTTTTATGTTGGGAATTATTTTTTCTATTCTGTTTATTGCTGTGTATTGTTATTTATATGCAGCGTAACCAACCTGTGAACGAGATTGCAGAGCGCTCAGGGAGCTGCAAGACATTGTCAACATGAAGCCAGGCATGGCCAGGTGTTCTTAGTTTGAGGCGAACAGAACAACTTTAACGTATTAAGTTTGACGTTTCATGTATCGCAGACAGAGCAACATTTCTGGGGTTCATTAGCATATCTTTCACATCTGAAGCATGCAATGCCATTTGAGGTGGTTCCGTTGTTGTGTTGATTTATTACCTTGCCATCGGGGTTGTTTTGGACCTCACAGTCATGCACGTTATCTGTTTGGGGCTGAGTGGTGCGAAGCAACAATCACTTCTTTGATTGCATTGAATAATTATCACTTGGTCCATGTCTCTAATGGCCAACTGTTCTTCGAGTGGTAATTACCTGAGCATGTTTATTTAAATGCATAGAGAACAGGGCGCGCGGTTCCATATACCACCTGGCCCGGCATCAACTTCCTGCCGACTGTCCTCTAAGCCGGGCCATAATTGGCGTTTTCGTGCACAGGCTAATTTGTTGTTCATTTGTTCCTGCTGAAATACATGGGTGATGCGTTTTCCAGGCTTGTTGCCGAAATTCGGGTGGTGTTGGAATGCAGACTTATCTATGCCTATAGAGGAATCTGTCTGTGAGTGGAAGAATGAAAACGTTTGTTATCAAATCAAATTTATTGCAAGTGTTTTGAGTTGTCCGCAAATTCAAGTGGCTGTAGATTCCTTTTCCAGATTAGCAAATAGATTTGTTTTTACATTTCATTACATACATGCTCGAGCAATTAGGTTTTTTTTTTTGCTTTTTTAGGAAAGCATGGAACGCCGATTCCGACGAGCTACACAGCACACATATCGACCTGCTCGTCAATTTTCCGTGTTGCAGTGCGTGAATCGTTTGAGCGCCAGTGGATATCCCAAGACCCATCTCCCCTCCCAGTCAGTCGAACAGCCCGACCGTCCCGCGGCCCGACCCTCGGCCCAGCCGACCCGCCACCGATCAAACGCCCATCGCCACCGCTCTCGGCAGCACGCGCGCCACCAAGGTCTATTTAGCCATCCAGAAGTGCACCACCTTCGACCCTACGGCGCCAATTTTTCATATTCAACAAGGCCAAATTGCAATGGCTTAGATTTCATAAGCCGCGGTGCGGCCACGCCTGGTGAGACAGATGTGTTCAAGTAGGGAGCAGGCAGGGCGCTGAAGCCAAATAAGCTGTTACCAGCCCCGCAGCCGGGATAAAGGACGAAGATGGAACCGAGCCCCGCAGAACCGGAACGAAAGAAACGGAGACGGGGAGACTGAAAAGGGGGAGATATTCAGATGGCAGGATAGATTTATTTCGCTCGAATAAATCGTCGTTTGACATTCAGACGGGATAAAACATCAATTTATCTAAATAATCGAGTAACAAACAAACAGCCGCAATAACATGGAAGCAGATTTTCGATTGGCAATGCTATTTGTTGTCAAAATTATTTATTTATTCTGAAGTCATATTTAAGCCACCTAATGCTTTAGGTAGGCTAACAAGAGAAAACCACTTATGACATTTCAAAAGTTAATCAATCATTTCAAAAGCTTAAATTTAGATTTCACTCGTGAAAGATTTTAACATTTTAGGTATAAAGGCCTGGCTACACTATGCCTTTTTTACGAGTTTGCGTGATTTGCGGAATATCGTTCTGGAAAGAAACGACATTACGTTTTTGTTTTATGTTTTTTTTTTCATATATAAACTTTTAATTAACCCTCGCACGACCAGGCCATTTCTCATAACACGAACGACCAGGGGGGGGGGGGGTTGTTACGACCCCCCCTGGCGTTTCGAAACGGAAGGTCGTAGAGCTTAGCGGAAAAAACCAACGGATTGCTCTCAACGAGATCTCGCGATTGGTGGTATATTTTTTGGTCCTAGGTCAACATTTGACCTACTTATGACCGGTCAAAGGTCAAATTTTCCGCAAAAATCAAACTTTTTCAACTTTCCGCGGCGATTGCGGCAAAACGGTGGGAGATATCGACTTGAAACCTTCACTATCGTGTTCCTTGATCAATTCTCTATCGTTTGGTATGTATTTCGTTTCCCTAGCTCTAAAAATGGCGCGTTGGGAGCGCCGGAAGTCGGCAAGGTCACAGTCGGCGGCAGAAATTCGAAAAATCAAAATTTAAATTTTTGAAATCTGATTGTATTTTTGGATTTGGGAGTTCCATTTGCTCCCTATAGAAGCTAATATTGCTGCATATTCCCATTGAGGTGACAAGAATTAGCAAAATAGTGGTTCGGGCGCTTTTCAAAAATAGTACCGGACGCTGTTCCTCTTGTGACGTCATAGCTCCGTGACCTGACCTGACCCGGTCAATTTTCTTGCACCACACGATAGCCAATGCTTGCCCCAACATGCATGGGAAGTTTCATCATGATCCATCAAACAATGTGGGTATCACCGGCAGAAAACCTAGGGATTCGGCGCACACGTTTGGTAACTGTCGGCCGGAGGCTGTACCTCTTATGACGTCATAACTCCGTGACCTGACATGACCCGATCAATTTTTTTCGGCAAAAGATGCGCAAAGGTTGCCCCAGAGGGTATTGAAAATTTCAGCCCGCTACGACAAGCCGTTTAGCGTGCACTTTGAAAAAACCTCAGGGGGGGTTGATACAACCCCCCCCCCCTAGGCGTTCTAGGGTTAACATAAACGTTTTATTAACTTTTATATAAATATTAAAGAAGTTAAACTAATAATAACTTTTTTCTAGAACGATATTACGCAAAACACGCAAACTCGCAAAAAAAAAAACGCACGCAGAAAACGCATAGTGTAGCCAGGCCTTAACTGTCTAATCAATGTCGTTTCCTTCAGCACCCCGGAACCCTTAAAATTCAACTCTGTTTTCTTTTTGTTTTAGACAGCACCTCCGACACGAATCTCTGTCTCTCTGCCGTCTACATGTGGCGTGAATCTCTGTCTCTCTGCCGCCTCCTGCGGCGCGCCGCTGAGGACGCGTGTGAGCCCCCCGCAGCTGTGCCGCCGGTCGCCTCAGCCCGACCCTGCCCTCCGTGGCCCGCGCCACCGCCTTTCAGCAGCTCCGCCGGCGACGCACCGGCTTACCGAGACCGTTTTCCGTTTACGTATGATTTACTCTGGCGATAAATTTCCGGCTCGGGTGCAAACAATGAGCGTTCGGTGCCTTTCACGGGCGCGCCGCTGCGGACCACCTGGCCGGCCGGCCGCCGCGCCGCCACTGCCGCCGCCGCGCACCGTTGGGCCTTCTCTGGGGACGGCCGACGGCGCCGCGAGCTCAGCACCTGGCCGCGATCGGTCCGCCGCACGAGACGCCACCCTTTGAGCCCGCGCTCCGCCACTCCCACGGCCCAACGAGAGCCGCCTCCGAGAGCCTTTCAGTCCCGTTTGCATACGACGTTTTATTGCACTGGCCTTTTTATAGGCAGATGAGGTACGGTGCGCCGATTCTGACGCAGGTGTGCGCCGTCCTTTTTCCAGGTGCGCTGCGTTCCCGAGCGGCGTTCCGAGGAGAGAGTGAAACGGACGGAGAAAAGGAGCCGAGGACCACGTGCTCTGCTGCCGCCAACTACCCGCGTCGGCCGAGGTTTGGATTCGAGTCGGCGACGGTCCCCTCCACGCTGCGTTAGGGTGTAATATGTAAGGTGCGAGGGTGAGAGGGTGAGAGTGGACTGGTCAGCGCCGCGGTGGTCCCCGCGGCTACTGTCGAACAATATGTCAGCCGTAACCGTTTGCTGTTATGGGGATCGGTTGTGGATGGTTTGTCATGGCCAGCTGTGTATAGGACTGGGACAGAGGAGAGAGTCGGTGAGCTCAGTGCAGAGATAGTCGACAGAGTCGGTGAGCAGGGGGCAGAAACAGTGAACTTAGGACAGTCGGGGCGATGGGACAAAACTGGTGAGCCGGGACAGGGAAGTTGAGCTGGGGACAGAGGCGGCGAGCTGCTTGGTTACAGAAGCTTTAAGCTGGGGACTGAGACGCTGAGGACGGAGGTGCGGTGGCGCGCCCAGCTGTCACTCTGGACCGGTGTGAGGCGCCGTGTGGGCGGACGCCGAGCTCGGGCACCCGTAGTGTCTCCCATTATGGGCGCTGTCACCGGCCGCCGCCGGGGAGGGGATGGGAGAGAGCCGGGAGGCAGCCGACAGCCGGCCAGACGTCATTTGTTTCCCTCTGTCATAGAGGCAAATGGCCTTGTCGCTTAGTCCCGCTGACCTTTTGACATTTGTGAAACTTATTGTGCTCGGGGAATCTCATGTGTCCAATGGCAGATTGATGAGCATCTCTCTCATTTGTTTTATTCGATGGCTGGGCTTTATCATCCAAAAATTGGTTATTCAATAGACAGTAACACAGATTGCGCACTACTCATAAATCACGATATCAAAACATACCGTCGCGAATGCGGAATGTCTCTCCGACCGAGGTTCAAAGGTTAGATGAAAAGACAACCCGGAAAAATCAAATCTTTTATTTGGCTGTTAGTCTCTCCCACAATTAATGCTCGTATGGTGTAGACAGCCCGAGGGCTCAGCATAAGGCGCTCAGTATTGCCGTGAGTTCCCACACGGTTGGCGTCGGTCGGGGTGGTGCCGGTGGATGGACCCGGGGCCGGCCCGCTGGACACCCCTGAGCTGCACCGAGCAGGTGTTTACCGGACCGCTTCCTCACGGCTGCGGTCACGGCCCGCGGCGCCGCTCCCAGCCGGCGGATTTCCGTGAATCCGCGCCGTGACGCCCGTGACGGGTGTGACGGCCGCCCTTCCCGCCGCCACCCGCGCTCCATAATCGTCACGCGGCTCTCCTGGCACGCCGAGCGCCGCTGCCGGTCCGGCCTGTCGCTCGGTACGCCGCTCTCGCCGCACTCTCAGCCCGCCGCGCCACGATGTGTCAAATTAGCCGACGCGACTCTGCAGCGTTAATAAGATTAATGAGTCGGCCGTCGATAAGAGCGGCGCGCCATCCCGTCACTAATCGCCGCGACGGCCGCGGCGCGTCTGCGGCCGAGGTGGCGCGATCCGCCGCGCCGCCGACGCCGCCAGGTCGTCACGGGTCGGTGCGGGTCAAACGTGGCCGTCATGCGTCGACGCGGCAGCGCGTCTTAATCAGTAATTGCGGTCCTGCTGGCGGGGCTGGCCGGGCGGCCGGCGTGAGGCAGGTGTGGACCAGAAAATATCAGCCCGGCGCGGCCGGCGCGCGCATCCTGCAGGGATTAGCGGCGCCGGCGTGCGCCCCGCAGTCGCCTGCGCCGGTAAATACAAATGATTCCGGTAACGCGAGCCGCGGCATCGCTGGCTGCATCTACGTGTTGTCATAATCGGGCATCTCTGCCGGCGGGCCGGCACGGCGGTAAGCCCGTGCCTGGCGCGCGCAGGCCCGCCGACACCGCAGCTGAGACGAACTTAAACCTCCACGGATCGCACTTAGCAACACCTCCGCACCGGCCGCCGGACCGAGGGCGACGGCCCACAAAGCTGTGAATTCATGCTGCATTGGGCACCGCATATGATTATTTCTCATAAGGAGTGTCGGGTGCTGATAGGGCCGGGCAGCTTTGACACTGGACATCATGCGCATTTATTTACCTGCCAGCGCTGATCCCCGGCCAGCCGCTCCCCGAACCGGCCGGCGCCTCTCTGTAATGAACCAGCTTCATCTTCTTGCTTGTGCAACAACAAGGGAATTTTCGTGGCGAAACTTAGCATGCAGACTCTGAAGACCCGTCCCTGCTCGGCGTTTGCCAGTTCCTGTCGACGCGGCGGCCCGTCTCTGAGCTAGCTCGCGCCGTTGTCTTTGTGCCGCTCCGGCTGAGTCCCCGGCGTCGGCCACCACTCATCTCCCTCCGCCGCGAGCCGCAGAAACAATGCTGAGCGCCGCTTCAATTGAAACGTAATTTATCGACACCTCCCGACGAGGGGCGCGCTGACAATCAACATCGATTGCCGGGGGCGGGGGGCGGGGCAGACGGGCCCGGTCACCGGGCCGCGCTGCTGCGTCCCAGCACCCCCCTGGGACCCGCTGTCCCCGCACAGTGGCCCGGCCGGTGACATGTAGTCCCACACATTGGGGCAGGGCGGCGACAGGGGCAGTTGGCGCCGCTGACGAGGCACATCCGTCCACAGAGGGAAATGGATGACGCTCGCAGCCAGAATAGCCCTTCAAAGGCGATTCTTTAAAGATGGATAAACATGGGGACGTTACAAAACTTAGCCGAGACATAGTGTGTGCAATGTTTGGTTGTATGACCTGATGTATCTTGCTTGTTCGGTGTTCACTTGTGTTTAATAAATGTCGAAATCCAAATGTCTGCGTCTCATATCGCATTTGAAGTGCAGATTGGTACCTTTGCTTTGGTATGTATATTTTAGAAGGATCATCAGAATGAATGGCATAAAGACCGATTAGTATTTAGTGCATTGTCCTATTTGACATTAACGTTTAATAATCCTATGCAATCATCAGATCTTCAACAATCATTAAAAACAGCATCTGCTTTGTTCAGTTAACCCTGCCATTTCGTTGCCGGCTGCGGACACCCCGGCGTGCCTCCCCGTCTGATCAGAGAGCTCTGGTCAGCTGTATCAGCCGAGCACCTGCCGACCTTCTCGGGCCTTTCATCAGCGCCGAGCCGCGATCGGGCGGCGCCGTTCTGGCTCGCGCTCGGGCGGAGGCCAGATGCAGGCCACCGACAAGGCCCGGCCGGTCGGCCCAGAGGTCACAGAACGACCTGGTAACGCCTGACAGCCTGGCAACAGCCCGCTACAGCACCGCCGCCGGCTAGTGGGCGCCCAGCGGCCCCATACAGGTCCGCCGCGGGACGACATGGGTCCATCTCGTTTAGGATAACGCTTCGTTTATTTCAGACCGACATAGCTCTATCGACGCTTCTGTCCTCCCTCAGATGTGTTCATGTTTACTATTTCCCTCTGGTGCCATGTCATCACCTGGGGCCCGTGGGGCCACGCCCGGTCCCGGGTCCCGTGCGCCCCAGCAGCCCCTCCCTCTCTCCCCTGCCTCTCTCCCGCTCTCGCCGCCCTCCATTAGGCGGCGCTCTGCCATTGGCCGCTGCCGCCGGCCGCCGCTGCATGACTGCTGGAACGGCCCGCGTCGTTAGCCAGGGTGGAGTCGACACCCACGGCAATTGTGATGATTCTAATGAGCCGAGCTAATGAACGAAATGGCCAGATTACACGGTCGCTCGAAGGCCGGCCCGGCTGGTCCGGTTGGTCTGGTCCGGGTCTGGTCTGACTGACCGGACCAGGCATGACACCGGCACGGGCTCACGGTGCAGGGAGTCGACCCGGCGCAGAGCGGGCCGCAGCGGGCCCTGATTAGATGCAGACCACCGCTGGGTAGGATGGCGATTCGGCGGCGCGTGCCTGTCATGAGCTGTGCCGACGGTCATTTGGTACACAGCTGCGGAGGTGTGAGCTGTTGGCTTTGTATGCACTGGCGCTGGTGGTTTGAAGCTCTGTGTTGTTAACGGAATAGAATACAATCCAGAATATTGACCTTCATAAGATTTTTTACTGTGCGCTGCTTTGTGATCAATGTTGTGGGACTGATCATAACCAAAGGGGCGATTTTAGCACTGGCCTTTTATGAGTGCGCTCACGAGCGCACGCCACGAATCTCTCACCTTTCTTCCCACCGTGAACCTTTTTCCCTCTCTGCCTACGTGCACTCACTGCCCTCTCCTCCATGACCCTCCTCTCCTCCCACCGTGAATCCGTCCCTCTCTGCCCGTGCGACCGCCACCACGGGAGCTCCGTTCACCGTGAAAAGGCTGCACCTCCGCCGGGCGGCCGCGGCGTCCGCCCTCTGCGCGGCCGCCACGCGTGCCTTACAACAATCGGCCGGGCGGCGGGTCGACGGGTCACACTTCCGCTCTGGCCGGACACAGCCGGACCCCCCGCCGCGCCCGGTCGGGCCGGGAAGGCCGCAGGCCGGCTGGGTCAGGCCGCGCTGCCCGGGCCGGCGCCCAGGGTGGTCCGCCGGTCACGGCTGGCTCAGGGGCGCCCAGTGACGCCCTCCGCTGCTGGGGACAGGCCGTGAATGGGCCGACCGACACGGCAGAGCTGCTGCAGGGATTATAGGAGCGCAGAGGCCGGATATGAAGGTCACTGACCCGCCGCCGAGCCGAGGACGCGACGGAATGCGCTGTTTGACGTCTGGCGACGTTTGATGGATGAGCTATTCCAGAAGGAGGGATGAGTTTCGCCGTCATGCAGCTTCTGCATGTTTTACCCCATATCCACCCCGGTTTGCAAAGCTATATAAGGATTCTGTGGGATTTAGCAGCTTCATTAATCAGCCATAAAAGCAAGGTACGGAAAGCACCTGCATCATTTGGAAGATAAGTAAATATTTCCCTTCCTAGTTAATACTCCTATTGACGTCAGAGATCAATTTTCCTTTCTATTTTCTCTCGGCGATCTTATCTTCTTCAGCTGGATTCCGCCTCCGCCATTGACCCCAGGCCGTTCCAAGCGGCTGGCCTAAGTAGCTAAGCAGCACCAATCCGCCCCTGAGCATCTGTACCACGTGACCGGCTGCGGGTCCAACAGCTGGCGCCGGATGGGGTCATGGCGTGAGGCGCGGTCATGGCAGTTCGGCGCTCTGTCGCATGATAGTGGCGTGGTGAGTCCTGTGGCGCTGTTTGTACGCGAGCGAGTGCGTTTTTAAGGGTGAAGTGGTGCCGTATGGGCACTAGGCGGTAGTACCCGAGCCAAGGCTTCTGTGTTTACAAAAACAAGTGAATGCATTTGGACGCTGTCTCCTTGCGTGGATCAACAAGTGCACACACAATGAGGAACTGATATCTGGCACATTCGGCGGTCGACTCTAGGCAAAGTCGGACGACCGTCTCCGGCTGCGGGCTGCGGTACCTATCAGCTAAGGTAAGTACCCAGAATAATTGTGCTATGCGATGCCTTCTGAACTGTGCATAACCGTCAGTCGATCAGCACTAGTGTGAGTGGAGCTCTTAAATATCTCGCTTACCGAACTTCAAATTGAGCTTAGACCTGTTGACCTGGCCGCCTGGCCGAAAACGGCGGTACAAACAGTTAACCCGCGCGGGGCTGGGGGGGTAAATTTTACCCCCCCCCTCGCGAATTTTTGCGATATCTCAAAAACGGCGGCGCGCAGCGCCGCCAAACTTTCAGTACCTTTTTTTACATCAATTTGACACGTTCCCTGAAAATTTGAGCGAAATCCGTCGGAAAATTTTTGAGAAATTGACGTTTTAGTGACGTCATGTTCGCCATTTTCGCCTCAAAAACGGCAAAAGTTCAAACGCCGCTAACATCTTCATTTTTAAAGGAATCAAGTCGTAACTCGTAACAAAAAGGTTATACGTAATTTTACTTTGTCTATCAAATGGCTATCTCGGTTTTTTGAAAATTTTGGATTTTGGCCTTTCAAAAAACTGATTTTTTTGGGAAAATCATAAAATCCAAAATTTTGAGTCTATCGAAAAAAGCCGGAATATATGTCAGAGAAGTGGTCTATGTGCACCTACATACCAAATTTTAGAAGAATCGGTTCAAAAATGTGGGAGTTTTTCAAAATTTTATGACGTCACGACACACAAATTTTTTGAAAAATGACTTTTTTGGAAGTTCTAGACCTGGTACGGAAACAAAAATAGCACCATTCGACTCGCCGTGAAAAACTGCATCAGATAGACACCTTTGTAGGCCTTAACAACCAACTTCAAAATTTGACCTCACTTGACCTGACCTTGCCCTGACCTCGACCTGAAATTCATCCAGAGGTGGTCCATATCACTTATTGAGTGTGCCTATTGAATTCTATGAGTAAAATGACCCATAAAACATGTGTCGCACATGCCCTTTTCTATATTTTGTTTTTTGGTGACCTGACCTGACCTGACCTGACCTTGACCTTGACCTCTGAGTGATATTGTATGCAACGAATATTGTCTTGGTAGCCTAAGAACACGTTTTGGGCGATCAGTCTCAGTCCATGACTCCATTCTTCGGCAACTACCCAGCAAACATGCCCACATGGTTCCCATATGGGGCCCACATGGGCCCCCCACCTCTTCCATATGGGTCCCACATGGGAATGGCAGTGCGTGACACGTGGGACCCATATGGGTCAGCCCACGTAGGCCCCATATGGGACCCACGCGGCGCCCACATGGGACCCATATGGGTAGCCCATCTGTAGCCCATGTCCCACGTGGGCCCATCTGGCCCATGTTCACCCCATATGGGACCCACATGGGATGCCCATCTCCAGCCCATGCATGCGTTTGGCCCATCTGGCCCATTTTTATCCCATATGGGGCCCATATGGGTAGCCCATCTGTAGCCCATGTCCCACGTGGGCCCATCTGGCCCATGTTCACCCCATATGGGACCCATGTGGGCATGTTTGCTGGGTACGGTGCAAGGCCGATACTGTAGAAACTTGCAATTTGTACCCTTGACCTGACCTTGACCTTGACCTCAAACTTTAAATTAAGTACATGTTTTTAGTAGTTCGTGATGAGAGCTTTCGATTGGCGTTTGAATTTTCCAAATCGGACCATTAGTTCGGGAGATAACAGGGGGGGGGGTAAAATTTACCCCCCCCCAGCCCCGCGCGTTCGGCTGGAGACCCCAGCCCCGCGCGGGTTAATGAATTATGTCACTGGTTAGTCGGCGGCTAAAACGTACGATTGTAACATTATTCGATCAAACAGCATCGGTCTATTATGGATCCGAAATGATAACGATTTGATGTTAAAAATATCGGGTGAGCTGTTAAACTTCTCTGATTTACAGTTGAAGTCTTGCGGTCAATAATTCGTTAACTGGAATACCCACAGTGCGCTGTGTCATCACCATTCACTCCCCTGCAGCAACTCCGTGTCATGACTGGAATTTATTCCAAGTCCGACAGCCAGGGTTTCAATGTTTGACGTCAGAGTCAGTGCCATCGGCCACTGACACTGGTTGAAATGGCCTCAGATAATCATATCTGCATCTTGAGACAGGTCTGTCCCACTACCGAGCTGTGTCAGTGTGTCGGTGTCAGACATGGCTGGAATGTCTTGTGAAAGTCCAAGTGTCAGTGTCAATGGCCATACCCATACGCTATCTTAGTGTCAGTATCAGAAGTGGCAAGTGGCAACATCGGGCGGAGTGGGTAGGAAGTTGGAACTGACCCGCATCATATTTACAATAAGTACATTATTCGACGGGCACCGACGTCAGGCAGTGTCTGACCTCCCGTGTCAGTATCAAGGTCATTGCCTGTGTCGGTGTCAGTCTCAGTCTTGGTCGG